TTTCCTACTCGACCCCAACTCGTCCGCCTAGATAGTTATCTTCGCATAGTCACTTTTCAATCGAACTACCTGACCTGTAGGCCACCACTGACAAGAAAAACGTAGAAAATCGAGAAAAAGACACAAGAAAAACCAAGAGCGAGCAAAATAAAGAAAACACGCGACACGACACAAAATGGACCAAGAAACAAAGAGAAAACCTAGAGTGGGAAAAAATGAATGCAAAATAAACACGAAAACACTAACAAAAATGGAACGAACATTCGTAGTTTGAGTACTTGTTAGTCCTTTGAAGTCTGTTCAGTCCAGAATACTTTCTATTCGTACCTTTTCCAGACTTAAAAAAATCTGCACTCTAGATATCCATTTTTTTAAGCATTTTAAGCCCTGTTTAGCCCCCCTTTGCCTTGCCATGTGTCACTCTTCTGTTAGACATGATCAAATTGTGTATCACCATATAATTCGGGAATGATGAGGAAGTGCAATAGTGTTTTGTTAGTGGACCAAAACATTATTTAAGTCATTGAGCGGAGTGGGCTTGGCCCACAGTTAGACCCAAGACTTAAGAAGTCCACTTCATCACCTCCTCAGGATCCTATTGTAGCCCTATAAATACATTATGTATCTCTTGAGATTGAACACAACTCAGGCACAATGCACGAACATGTTGGCCGACCCTAGTTCTCGAGAGATCATCTCCGAGCTCGTTGCCCACCAAGACAATCGAAGAGGTGTCGGGTCATACGGTAGAAAGCCCCCAAGGTTGATGAGACATTTCGATGAGCCACCGCACTCTATCGCACCCGAGCTCCCCTCATCCGAGACCAGTGCGTTCTACTCGTGCCTCAGCCCCGACGACTACTGCGTCCAAGCGCTAGCTCCCACACGCTGTAGACCCGTGACTTTATCGGTGAGCCCCAGCGACCCGCTTCCGCACGCCGCAACCCACGAGGATATCGCGACCCGCAGTAGCCTGTGAGTACCGCATTCGCACGAGCTGAGCAAGACAGGCCCCATCCGACCGCGCGATGTTCCCGATGAATCCAAGACATCCGAACGAGGCAATTTTCAACGAATGGATAATCAAACGATCTCCATTAACCAAAATCTACAGCGTCTCAGAGTCTACAATATTTAATTCGTAAGTGTTCAACTTTAAACTTTAGAATCTGTTGTGCAATAAATTTATGGTTGTTGTTTAATTCGTGACTTGCACTTAGCAATATCTTCACCGGTCCCAACAATTAACTATTAAGTCGATTTTCAGTTTTGGTATAAAGCCAAAAGTTGGCTCCATACTGGAGCCAACCTTCTATATACAATAAGTAAACCATACCATATTACGAAAAATATTAGTGTTTATTTAAGTAATCAGAATATATTATATGGTTTACTTGTTGTATATAGAAGGTTGGTTGGCTTCATAGCAATACTGAGTCTGTCTTGCTATTCAACTTTTTCATGAAAGTGCAATCTAATTTTCTTTTATAATGTTGATAAATCATTTAAAGATAGTAGCTAAGGGTATCACAAGTTCTATTCGAATTGAAGGGGACTTTCATTAGAAGATAATGCAAATATATTAGTTTCTATTTTGGGATGAAAAAATTATATTGTGAAATGATACTCTTAGGTCCTGATTGGTATAATGGAATGAATGTAGTAGGAATGGAATGAATTGAAAAATGGATTGATTATGGGAATGAAATGGAACAAGTTTTGTCATTGATGTGTTTGGTATGCAGATGGAATAAGAACTGAATGGAATGACATTATCATTTTTATTATAAAAATAAATAAAAGTTTTTTTCAAAAAAAAAAAAATATATTTTTAATAAATTATAAATAAAATAATATATTTTTTATAATATATATATATATTTATAAATTATATATAATAAATAATATATTCTTAAAAGTAATATATTTTTAATATATAAAAATTAATATATTTTTAATAATATATAAAAATAAAAATTAATATATTTTTAATATACATATTTTTATTTTTAATTTATTATTTGTTAATTTTATTTTTTAAAAAATTGATTCCTACACACATTAAACCTTCCATGAACTATAGAATGACTAATCCCATGGAGACGGGTTTTGTCATTCCCATTGGAATGGTCATTCATTTCCAAAAAAATATACCAATCATGGGATAAGAAATGTGTAAGGGAATGATCATTCAATTCCCATGTCATTCACTCATACCAATCATGTCATTAGTTTATACTGCATGCTTCATATTATTAACATTTTTTTCGTTATTACTATCATTGCAGGAAGCAAAAGCTCATGCCTATGAGAATGGTCTATTCTTCATGGAAAATTCTGCATATACAACAACAAATGTTAATGACGTACTTTATGAGATAGCCAGAGCCTCCTGTTGTGCTTAAGGGTTTATGCAAACTTTTCAAAAAAAAAACCCAAAAACAGGATGAAAAAAAAAATATATATATATATATATATAATGAAATAAGTGTAGAAAGTTAAATTTGCGTGTATAAAAAGTACTTCGTTACAACTCTTGCTTACTCGTTGGATTGCCAAAATTTGTACAAGAGTTGAATTTTATTTAGTACTTCGCATTGGTTGAACCCTTGAATGACATGTACAATTTCACTGTGTATTGATATTTGTTATTGGAGTTTTATTACTTTTATCAATTTCCATAATTTTTCTGTTGCATTTTATTTCTTGCAACGAACTTCATTACATGAGTCGCCTCAGACTGTTAACACTAGTATTCACTTTGTCTCATTGGTATTGTTTTTTCCGTTTGGAACGAGATGATTAAGAATGATGATAAATAGATATCACAAAGCTTTATACCAACCATTGACTATGAACACATTTAAGCACATTTCATCAAAGTGTGAAATATAATACACATCCCAAAAATATATCAGACACCCCATATCATATCAACCTCAATCACATTATACACAAAGAATTGAGCCAAATGATCATTCCAAAACAAACCAAGTTGTATATAATATAACACAAACAAACACACATGAGCAATAACAATGATTAAGGTATCCCAAATAATGATAACAACAAAAACCACAGCCCCCAACAGGACAACCATAAATCTATATCCTATAGTGTCTAATCAGACCTTCTTCTCAGGCTTGTACCCCTTGGACAGGAAATGATTAATAGAAACATAGATAAACACCTCACAAGCCACACCCATTGACCATTGACACTGCATACATCTAATCGACAAGTGGGCCCCGATTCCTTGCATCTATTATAATGCCAATAGCCACCCAATTGGATTTAATAGAATATTCTTTTGAGTTTGAGAAATGATTTTTCGATTAAAGAATAACTATTGTTTAATGTGATAGATACTATAAAATTAATTTGAGAACAAGTTTTTTGGAGATGGCTTAACTAGATCACAGAACAGAATCCAAAATTCCAAATAGTGTTACGTAGCTAGTGAGTCTAAGGCAAACAATAAAAAATTCTCTCTGTACCCGTCTCCAAAATCTCCAAATTAGAAAGGAAAAAAACCTTGGTTGTGCAGTGCCTCCCCTCCGGCGGGGGCTACTCCTTTTGACGTCAGACGACATCTAGGAAAACTCTCAGTCAGGTGGTGTTTCTCCCCGACAAACATTCGATTTTCCCTTCTACATGATCTCACATTTCTTCGAGAGCCATGGCGATGTAAGTGGGAAGTCCAAAGGTTCGCCCATGCTTCACTGTGACTGGCGTTGACTGTTTTGTTGTGGTTGTCGGGGTTGAGGTCAGTGACATGGATTTCTCTTGTTCCTTCAGGCGGGGGCGCTTGTTTTGGGCTATGATTGCTAGTTTGGTGGTGGCAGAGAGTTGCCTTGCAGGGTTACTGAGATTGTCTGTGGTGGTGATCTTTTGGTTGGTTTTGGGTCCGTTGGTCAAGGTCGAGTTAGCCACAGGGAGAGTTTCTCGATCCAATATTAGGCCGCGAGTTGTTTAGCTGTCCCGTTTGTTGCTTACCTTAAGTGCTGACTCTAGTGGTGCTGTCTGGGGTGGTTTTCCAACTGGTGGGGAGGGATTTACTCTAATTATTAGTTTTTTTCTCTGTTTGTGTATTTATGTGTCTCTATTCTCCTGTTTGGACGGTCTTGTTCTCCTTCTTTTGGAGTTTTTATTCTCCATTTAGTGATGTAGTCCTCCTAACCAGATTCACTTGGGCCGCTGATTTATTCGACTATTTAGCTGTGACCTGATCTCTAAATTTGCCTGTATCTATGAAGTTTATCATTCCGAAAGAAAAAGTCGAAGCAAAGTACTTAGAGTGTGATTAGTTAGAAAAAAAAAATCAAAACTTAAATTTAACTCAACTTTAACCCGACCCCGCTATACTCAGTCTTATCAATAAATTAAATAATATCAACTAATAATTATTACACATCCCATCAACTTTAATTCACTATCATAAACTCACTATTCATCTACTACATAATATTAACTAATCATCATTTCTAATCATTTTTCTCATATTTTTACATTAAATCAACATTAATTATTTTATTTTGAACCACATTTTAACATAAACTAAAATTTTTACTAATAACTAACCATACCATAGTTTTTAAAATTAACAATGGTAAAAAAAACTAATAAAAAACCAATCAAATTCATATCCAATCACACTCTTAGAGCATGTTTATTTATAAAAATGTCAATAAAAAAAACCCAACCTCTGCTTAAATCTAACTCAAACTTAATTCAACTTCGCTATCATTACTATGATCAGTATGATTAAATAATACCAAAATCATTCTTACAAATCATATCAACTTTAATTCAGTATTAATCAATTCATATTTTTTTTTATATAAACATCCCAGATTGGGATGGGGGGTTGAGGCTACACCCCCGACCTGTGAATATAAGGCCCAACTAGGGCTAAAAAGTCAATGGTCTACATCTAAGTCGGAAATACATGGAGCAACAACAAAAGCAGAGAAAATAGAAAATAAAAAATAAAAATAAAAACTAAAAATAAAACAAAAAAAAAATAAAAACTACAAAGGTCACAAAAATATGCAATGTGTATCTAAAATCGAATCCTCATAAGAGATCGGCCGAATCTAGTCAGGGGCAGGAGGTGACGGTCGACCGATCTGAAGGATGGGTACTCTAACTGGTCCATCCGAATGAGCGTCCGAAGCCGGAGGGGAATGTCCTCAGGAATGAGGGTGCGTCTCTGGGGTATAGATGCCCCCGTGCTAGCAAGGAAATCGGCAGGTCGGTTCCCCTCCCGGAAAATATGTGAGACCTGGTAGTGGATCGAGCGGAGGGTGTCTCTGATACGCATAAGAGGATGCTGGATCTGCCATGGGCCCTGGTGGCCGGATGTCAAAAGTGTGATGACAGCCGCAGTATCCATCTCTATCCAAACATGAGAGGAGATCGAGGCAGCAATCTGATCTGGAGCGCCTGAATCTTTGCATCATAACTCGAGGAGGCCCGGAGTGGCCCATGGAAAGCAGAGATGAGTGCTCCACCATGATCCCTAATCAGGCCTCCTCCTCCAGCAGCTCCGGTATGTCTGTCGAAAGCGCCATCAGTGTTTAGCTTAACCCAAGGGGGCTTGGGTTTCAGCCAAACAACGATCCTGGGACGTGGATGCTGGACAGGTAAAGGAGGTGGTGGCCTCAAACGATGGGGCGGTGTACACCCTATCCAGTCTCTCGTCGTGAGTCTACCCAGGGCGGTGAGGAGAGAGAGGTGTCTGTCAACCTGCAAAATAATGTGAGCACAAGAAAATAAAATATCCCTATGCTTCGCATTATTCCTTTCTGTCCAGGTGGCCCAAAGGATCAGACAAGGAATAAGGAAGCCCACGTGTCTACTGTGTGTGCGGTGAGCGAAAAAACTCAAAAGCTCAAAAAAACTATCTGTAGTGGGTAGGGGTATATGAGTATATCTGGCATAGTGCTCCCACACTCTCCTCACAGTCTCACTCTCAAGGAAAAGATGGGTGAATGTCTCGATCTCAAAGGTACCGGTCTCAGCACAACAATGGCAGCGGGAGGGGAAGAAGAATCCTCTCGCCTGCATCACAGTGTCAATGGGAATGCGCCGTAAGAGGAGGCGCCACAAAAAAAGGGAAATGGTCGGGGTGAGAAGATTGGTCCATATGGCCCCGAAGAGGCGGTTTGGCCGGTTGCCCAGCCTCACTTCTCCCCAGGCTGAAGACGTAGAGAATGCACCCGAAGATGTAAGTCTCCACCTCATGCCATCCAAACCTCCCTCCAGAATGGGAATCTGTCGGATCTGGTCAATCTCTAGACTACTAAAACCCCCACCCTCACCAAGAATATCCTCCATCCTATCTCTATCCCAGAAACCTCCCGTCCAAAGGTCCTTCACCTGCATGAAAGGCAGGTGAGTGACTGGCCTAGTACTCGAGAGAGGGGCCTCGCCGAACCACCACTCATCCCAGAAGCTAACCTCCTCAGAACCCAAGGTCCAAAAGATGTGCTCCTGAGCACGTCTGCCAACAGTGGTGAGACGTCTCCACTGTCGACTATCCCGAGCGGTGGCTGTCACCCTGCAGGGATGAGCAGCACCACCAGGGCAATATTTCCTCAGGAGATATTGGGCCCAAAGGGACTTGCCCTCCCTAAATCGCCACCACATCCTGCAGGAAAACGCAGTAACCATATCAGAGAAACGCCGAACCCCGAGCCCACCCTCAGAGTGGGGACGACAGATGGAGTCCCACTTTACCCAGTGGGTCTGCCGCCGACCTCGCGGGCCCTCGCCATAGCTCCAAAAATAGCGAGCTAAGATCTGATCTAACTCATGAATCGTAGACTGGTGGGGATCAAGCACTGCGAGAAGGTGAAGAGGAAGGGCACAGAGAGTGCTCTTGATCAGAGCAAGTCGGCCGCCGAAGGATAGGTGTCTATGGGACCAGCCAGAAATCCGGTCAATCATCCTCTGACGGACGTCAATAAAAAACTCATGGGAAAGATGGCCTTTGTACAAGGGGGCCCCAAGGTAGGGGATGGGTAAGTCCCCACGAGCAAATCCAGTACGCTCGTGAATCTGGTGGGCCCAATGATCTGCAACGTGGTGGTCCATGACAAAGGTACTCTTACTAACACTGACTAGCTGACCAGATGTCTCACTGTAGTGGTCCAAAAGACTCATGAGAGCAACTAGCCCATTATCATTTGCACGAGTGAAAATGATAATGTCATCCGCGTAAGAAATGTGGGAAATGGAAGGCCCACAGCCACGCGTGCTGTAGGTCATCCTCGTAAAATCGTGAATGAAGCCGTCAAGGCAGCGAGAGAGATAGTCAGCCACTAGAACAAAAAGGGAAGGGGATAAGGGATCCCTTTGACGAAGGCCGCGGGTGGAAGGGAAAAAGGTCGTGGGGCTACCATTAATCAAAACGGAGAATGTGCAGTGTTCCACACACGCCTCCACAAAGCTAATCCAACGGTTAGGGAATCCCATCCGAGACAGTACCTCTCTGAGAAACGACCACTCGACCCTATCATATGCTTTGGCCATGTCTAGCTTCAGCACGAGGTTCGGGGTTCGTGTTTGATTCACATGAGAGATGTCGTGTATCATCTCCTGAGCCAGTAAGATATTATCACTAATGACTCGGTCCTTGATGAATCCACTCTGGTTCGGAGAGACAAGGTGAGGGAGGAGAGGGGCGAGGCAACTGTTGAGGATCCTAGAAATGATCTTGTTAGTCACGTTGCATAAGCTGATAGGTCTATAGTCAGACCAAGTGCTAGGTCCCGATCTCTTCGGGATCAAAATGATGGAGGTTGCCGTGAAGGACTCTGGCATCTGGTGGCCAGAGAAAAAATCCCTCACAGCTTCCTCGACGTCAGTACCCACGATCTCCCAGCAAGACTGGAAGAAGAGGGACGAAAAACCATCCGGTCCGGAAACGCTGTTGGGATTTATCCTAAACACAGCCTCCCTGACTTCCTCCTTACTCGGGAGGTCACAGAGGTCAACAAGGTCGACCGACTGCGGGATGGTCAGAAAGAGGGCCGGGTCGCGGTGCGTAAGCAAATCCCGCTCAGAGGAGAAGAGAGAGTGGAAGTAAGCCCTAGCCGACTCCCGTATCTGGGACTCCTGGGTCACGGATGACCCGTTATCCTCGACACTATGGATATACGACTTGACTCGCTTCTGCCTCACGAATCCCTGGAAGAACTTGGTATTACGTTCCCCCTCAGCCACCCAGCGCACAGCAGCCTTCTGCTTTCAGAAGTCTTCCTCCATGAGGAGGCGCAACTGGTACTCAGCATGGCAGCGGTGCATCTCGGACCTATTCTCTGGCGAAGAATCCAAATCATAGGTCTGTTCCACCTCCGCATACGCAGTCTGAGCTGCAGTAAGGCGCTGAGAAATATCACCAAAAATCGTCCAGTTCCACTGCTTCAAAACACAGCGGAGTCTCTTGAGCTTCTCCTCCAGGTTGCGCATCCCATAGAGGTGCGTAGCCTGCTGCCAGGAGGCTCTAACAGTATCGTAGTAAGAGTGGTGGCGGACCCACATGTTCTGGAAACGGAAGGATGCTCGCCGAGGAGAAATAGAGAACCGACAACGAATCAGGAGGGGGGCATGGTCGGATCCAATTCGAGGAAGGTGCTTTACAACCGTAGTCGCAAACACCCTCATCCACGCCTCTGAGTAGAGAGCGCGATCGAGCCTCTCCTTGACTCCGGCCCTCTCCCACGTAAAGGGAGCCCCTTCATAACCAGCGTCAATGAGCTCACAATCCGATACGACATGCGAGAAATCTAAGGTCTCCGCAGAGCAGTCCGAAATACCACCAATGCGTTTGTCGGGATGCAAGAATATGTTGAAATCACCGCTAATCATCCACGGTAATCCCTCCATGCTCTCAGCAATCTCACGCATGATGTCCCAGAGGTCATATCGACCAACCCTCGCACAGCTGGCGTAAACCAAAGTGTGGAAGATCGGCTCCGGAAGATGGGCGGCAGAGAGCTTCACGTGCAAGACTTGGGTCAGTATCTCGAAGGACCCGACAAGTGAAGTCACGTGAGTGGAAAAACCAAATCTTGTTAGAGGTGTTTCCCATCCCGGCGTGAAAACCAAGGCGTCGCGCATATACGTCAAAAGAAGGATCACGTCATAGGCTCTAAGAAGGCAGCAAAGTCAAGGTTATGCTCACGAATGAGAG